AATATTTAAATGCCATTTGACAGCCAATATATTGCACATTTGAGGTATGGTTTATGCACGACGTAAAATCAAATTGTATTTTACCCACAGAGGATTGAGCCATGTCCTAGACATCAGTAGCTTTTCTAACAAAATGAGACCTTCTCACCTTTCCCTTTCTGTCTGCACATGCAGGTTGCTCAGAGGAGAACTGCCTGTGCCTTCTGCCACAGAATGATCTGCCCAAACCCTCATCACTTAAAAAAATGCCAGCAGGTACTCCCTGAGCATCAACTGCTCTCTGAACACGTGAATTCAGAAGAGATTTTCATACATAGTTCTCAAGCAAGTAAAAATAAAGATAAAAACTTATCTTCCCAGGGATAATACTAGCGGTAGCAGGGCAAATAAATCGATTTTACCATCCATGGTGATCAGGCTGTGGGTGGACATATAATATGTCCTGCCTATGCTGTAAACTTACACTGTCAGCACAGTTGCTGGATTTGCAGCAGTCAGATGCAAACGCTCAAATGTAAACTAGGAGAACTCAGACATTTTGCCAGTGGTTCTTACTTTTTCTTGGAAGCAAAATCATGAACTGACCTCCATTTCACAATAACTTGCTGCCCCTTCCTCCCCCCCCCCCCCCCCCCCCCCCTGCCCCGTAGCATTCTGGGCTTTAGGGGCTTGCCTCAAGATGCTTGTCACCCTTGGCTTCAGTGGATTTTTGGCAAACTGATCAAGCGTGGATCTCTCTCCAGATCTTACACTGTAGTACAAGAGACCCTTCTGAGTTATTATTTCCTGCACTGAAGGGTATCTTGGTGCTGAATTTCTATCATTGCTCCCTGTTTGCAGCCACATCCTTGTTTTGCAGCGTCGTGTGGGCTTTGTTGGAACAGCTGCAGAGTCTCAGAGCCTCATAGTCTGACCAGGGTTCAGCTTGTGGTTGGAATCTTGAAGGGCTTGAACTTGTCAAGCCATGCTGACCAGAGTAAAATAATCATTTGACACAAGGGAGACTTTTTTTTTCCCTGCCAGAACTCTGACTTAGTGTTTAAAGCTATCAAACTATCTGAGCCATCAAGCCAAGGTGAATCATTGTTTCACAGCATAAAATGCAACATGCAGAAGGTGCTTTGATTTTCAGTCCTTCTCAGGGCTTGAGGTATCTGTCAGAACAAAACAATATAGTATATTCTGTTTATGTGTTGAAGCATCTACAGTGCACCAGCCTGTCAGCCCTCAACTCATCTGCAAAACTGTAAAATAATACTTTAAAGGATTGCTAGGACCCGGTAGACCCTGGCAGCTGCCCTGCAGCCAAATGTCTCTAAATTCTTCTATCAGTGACCCACCCAAAAATGGGAATGCTCTTTTGACACTTTACTTTAGACCAGAAAAGCATTGCCTTTGCCCTTCTAACTGGGGAAGGAGAATTTCAGATGCTGCATAAACTCCCTGGAGTGTTTGTGTTTATGCTGGAGTTGCTATACGGACAGCTGGGAAGTAAGAACTTGGGAAGCAAAATGATTCTCATAATCATATATAGAATCACAACAAGAAGGAAAGGAACTGTGTCCATAAGAAATCATCCAGTCTACTTCTTGTCTTATTGCATGGCCAACCATCCCCATGCTATCCCTAAAAGATGTAAAATTTCTACCTACAGTCTTAGATGTCCTCCTGTTTTCACAGGCAATCCATTCCAGTGCTGTTCTTACCATAAAGAAGTTTTCCAGGGCTGATGGTGGTGCCTCCTGGTTAAAGTTTAATCTCTTACTTCTTGTCTGATCCTTCAGAGACACCCAGAATTATGGTTTCTCTGCAACAGCCTTCTGTATTCTTAAATTTCACGTCCCCTCCTCTCTTTCAGACCACATAACCTCAGTTCTTCCAGCTGTTTTGGGAGAGCACAATTCCTAAACCTCAGTCATTTCTGCTAGTTCCTACCATTCTTGTATTGCAGTGACCAAACCAGATGTAGTACAACTGTTGAGATCTTGTGGTGGAAAGGATATAAACTCTCGCACTCTTTTTTGTACATCCTGATATAACTGCCTTTTTTTTTTTTTTTTTTGGCAATGACAGAATGTTGCAGACTGATTTCAGCTCGTGATTCCCTAACTCCTCCATAGAAGTGCCACTTCACCTGCTGTTCCCTATTCTAAATGGGAGCTCCTGATTATTCCTGATGAAGTATAGCACCTTGTCCTCACCCTTATCAAATTTTATTCTGTTTTTGGACTTTTTTTTCGACTTGTCTGTATGATTTGCAATTCTAGTCTTCTCTCCTGGTGTTTCTTATAACCTTCTAGACTGGTGTTACATCTTAAATAATCACTTTGCTTACTGAATATCCAGGTGGCTAACAAAATGCCAAACAACCCTTAGCCTGAGTCTTTCCAGACCCCATGTGACACGTCCCTCCTTGCTGATGGTGACCCACTGATGACTATGGGCAGTTACCCAGCCAGTTCTGTGGGCCCTTTAGCAGTTCTGTTGCTTTTCTTCTCACAGTGATGTGTGACCTCACAGCAGAAACCTTTTCCCTACCCACAAGGCCTTCATGCTTCTCACTATTTGCATCACATTTTTTTCTTAACCATTCTGGTGTTATGCCTGTGTTCTCTTGCCACTCTATTATTCAAGTAATAGTAACCAGACCCAGATTCTTCTGTCTCTGTGCTTTCTTCTGAGTTCAGCAAAGGACTCATGACCATATTAACAGCCAGTGATTTAGCATTGCATATTAGGCTGAGATTAACTTCCCTAATTTTGCCTTGTGTTCCCATAACCATGATAACGGAGTTCTAACATTCAAGCACTTGCCTGCATCTTCCTTTTGTGCAAACGTGTTTAACTCAGGCCTTTCTGGTTAGTGATTTTAACTAGGTGTATACATTCTCTTCTTTCATTGCAAAGTTGTAATTTTCAGTAACATTTAGAATTCAGTAAACTTTTTAGGGAGCTACCAGATGTCTGTCCTCACTAATTGTCTTTCCAATAAATGTCTGGAGATTTCTGATTATTTTGCAGGAAACACTTCTTCAGTTAGCATGTGATAATTAGTTATAGATTAGATAAAAAGAGGAAATGAAGAATAAATATTTCTGGCAGCCCTCTAGGATTCACTATGACCTTCTTCAGACAGCAAATGGACTCCTGTGATTCTGTTGGAATTTTCTCATCCTTCAAAGCAAATTTATACCGATATCATTTAGTCATAGAGGTATGCATTAGTGAATGTAATAGCAAAGGCAGTCATTCAAGTACTTTCCTTCTATCTTCTTCAACTTTGCTGGAGGTGATAGAACAACACAGAAGTTATCACAGACACAGGCTCTTTGCCCTGTGAATTGAGAAATGCATCTTGGACCACACACCTGTGCTAACAAGAGGTGTTGGGAATGTTTTTCATGCTTTGTAAAGATCATGTCATTTGAGGCAAGAACAGGATGGACTCTGCAAGTGCATGATCTGATTATTTTATGTTGGCACCAAGCAATTGAGAAAAGGACATTATTTTAAGCTTAGTAATGTGTTTTAATACAGAAGTAACACCTTCCTCCCCATTAGATTGTGGATAGAGAGGGCCCTACTGCAGATTCCCCCACTGCTACAAGTGGGAGCAAGTTCAGTGTTGTTGCACTGTTTGGATGGCAGTAATCCAATTCAGCAAGTACTCCTTCTGTGGTGCTATCACAGTGTTAAGCCTGGATAGTGGGTGGCTGAGCAGTCAGAAAACAAGACTAAGTCTCATCCACTAACAAAGAAGCTTTATTGCAAGTGTACACAACTAAGCAAAACTAAGCTGTGGTATCTAGACCATAATTATAGGATATTGCCGAACTATGTGTAGGTATCCTTGGAGTCTTGGCATCCTGGGAATGGCATATTTCAGGACATTCAGATTCCCTTTGTTCAAAATTTTCCCAAGTTCTTTGTTCTGATCCCCTTTTATACTTTCCACAGTTAAGATGGCAAAAACCTCTGTTTAATAATTCTGAGGTTGCTTTCCTTCCCCAAGATGTCACATTCGTTTCCTTATCTCATTGTGGGTTGTGTTGCTTGTCCTACCTACCTACTGAAAAGACCAAGCATCTATGGAAATTATTTTACATAATCTTTACAGCTATAGAAAAGACTACATTGGTACCTTGAAAAAAATATTAGGATAAACAATGCTTCCAACATTAACAAAGACCATTGCACATGTAGGTAATTGCTTTCTGTCCTCCTCTTTAAGATCATGTATGAAGAGTGTGATATGGCCACAGGACCCAAATGAATGTAGTGCTAAAAACACATATGCCACAGTAAATGGAAGTGTAAGGTTTAGGTTTTGTGCCAGAATTTCCATTTGGTGTTATTTAAAACTGCAGATCAAAGCTAGACTATGTGACCAGCCCTAGATGAGTGTACAGTCAAACTATACAATGTTGTTCCATTACATCCTGGTTCTTGTGGAGCTGCTCGTTTGGCAGGCATCTGAAGCCTGTGAAAAGACAGACGGTGTTAAACTGGGCCATCTCACAAAGTCTCACCTCAGGCATCCAATTCCAGAGGTTGGACTGGCAGTCTTGTCTGCCTACAGTGTCAATGGACATTGACATTTTGGTGGACACACATGCCTTGAATCACCTTATGAAGACCCCAGTGACTGAGAACAACATTTGGACCTTCTACATAAGGCAGCTTGAGACACCGCCAGCAGTCACTGCATCTTTTTTCTTCCGAGCAAACTTCTGAGTTTCCTTCCTATTTGTAATCTCTGGGAACAAAATCTCACTTTAAGCAACTTACAGTTAAAGCAAAGGATGGGAGCTGCAGGGTTCAGCACAGTCCCTTCAAGAATAAAAGCAGCCAACCCAAACATTGCCCAAGACTCTCTGATGTGGACGGCAGCATCTGGTGTCCACTGAGGAGAGGAGGTGGCCTTGGAAGGGGTGGAGGCAGAAGAAAACAGCAGTGACCATCCGCAGCACTGTGGTCCCTTTAAATCTTCTCCTCTGCTTGGCAGCTCCAATTTTTCTGTGTTGCTATAGCAAATCTCCATGGCAATGACCCTAATCGGGGAAGGGGGGATGCAGGGGGACGCATGCTCAGAGTGAATGCTGGAGTCTCGCCTGCTTGTTTCAGCTGCTCCACGGGTGAAGAGAAAGCTCAGGTACTGGGCAAACTGGTCCTTTGGGAGTATTGCAGCCCACAGCACGTCACCATAGTGATGCATGCATGTGGCTTTGCGTTTACCTGTGGGTCTTTGCATATCACAGTTCATCCGCTTCTTTGTAGGGAACAAACTGCTGATTTTCACTCTTTCTCCTCATTCCAGGCTGGGAAGAGAGCTTGAATTACTGACGCGAGCGATGGCGTTGCCGTCTGCCTGGAGTGCGATGCGTGTGGTGATCCCGTTCATCTCGGTGCTGGGCCTGCTAAGCGTGAGGCTTGTGGGGGCCAGCCAGGACTCGGGGAGTGTCATTCCTGCCGAAAGTATGTACTGCCATGCTGTGCTCATGCCCCGCTGCACGCGTCCTGCTTTGTGCCCTCCTCTTGCCCCTGCAGCCACACAGATGGCTCCGGGGGTACCTTGCTGAGTGGCTCAGGCACACCTTGGAGCTGAGAGCTCTTGGTTTTGGATCACAGCTCTGCATTAGTTACTTCTATCATTTTGAGCGAGTCTCTTGTTTAACTTCCTCAGCTCTAAAATGAGGCAATAGTTGGAAGACACTAGGGAATGGAGTCAGTGTTCTCAGGGTGTTTTGGTCAGGTAGTTTGAAGTAGCTGCTCACTGAAAGATTAAATACCCTCTGTGAGATCTTTTATTGTTAAAAAATGGGGAATTTAATTGCATACAAACCAGTCTTTAGTTCTTCGCCTCATTTTGTATCACAGCTATCTTTTTACTTTACTACTCAAATATTTAGAATGAGATCTGAATTAGTCACTGCATCTTATTCTCCTAAATTGCATTTTTAATTTTTAAATACACATATGACTTCCTCCACAGGATTTGAGTGCTGAATTCGCTTCTTTATTCATTCTCCTGGGTTTTTTTATTAGTGATAAGTGTTGGTCTGTTCTAAAAGAGGCCTCACCTCTATCTTGTGTCTGTTTTCCAGGCATGCATTCATTAACTTTAATTTTGTGGTGAGTGGTCTGTACTGTCTTCTCAAGGACAATACCAGGCTTAAAAAATAAATTCGATGTGACTTTTGTGTGTCTGTAATATCAGAGGTAACTCAACACATCTTGGAGGAAAAGTATGTGATGATTCCTTGTTCCTCTTGTGTAGCGTAAACTCCCATTTTATCTGCAGAACAAACACTCCAAATCAGGTCTAATCTTTCTGATATCCTGTGACCGGGCTACTAAGTCCCCCGAGGAGCCCTTGAGAAAGATTCCATGTCTTATTTTGCTCTTGCATGTGAGAATGAGGAATGGAGGACACTCAGTGTTTCTGCAGAGACGTGCTGCTCTGCCCTGAATCACAGGGACTGGCAGCACTGCTGTGAATGCACAAATGTTGTTTATGTCTGAGTCCAGGCCAGGAGGAAGGCTCCTGACTCATCATGAATTATAAATTTCCTTGCTGCTGCAGGAACAGTGTTTTAAAGCAACAAGGAGCTTGCAGTGCTCCTCGTCAGCCAGTGGTTGAGAAAATGCTGCACAGTTGCTCTGTGCCCCAGGTACCCTCCTTTGCCCATCAGTGCCAGCTGCTTTCAAAGCCTGAAAATGCTCCTAGACACATAAAATGAACACAGTGCTTGGAATTCAGGACACTGGGCCAAACAGAGCTTTGATATGACCTAATAGATATTCCTGAATTTTTCTCTGCTTGATGTCAACTCCATGGACTATTTCTCATTAAAGTCTCTATCCTCCTGGGCACTGACCCATTCTGGGGACAGTGCTGCTGATATGCTTAAGTCCATGTTATCTTCTTGGTGCTGTAGAGATCTTGTGCTACTGTGTGACACTGATCTCTGGCCTGGGCTGCCATCACCTGCACTCCTCTTTGCTTTTTCTCTGCCAGTCAAGAGAGCCAGGCCCAGCTCTTTCTGAATAACGTTGATTAGGAGTGATTAATTAAGTCCTTATACTTTATACATGCTACTTTGCATTTACAAAGACTGTTCAAGTATGAAGTGCTGTTGCTAATGCTTTCAAGAGTATTTTCTTTAAAGTTCAGAGCAATCCACTAAAAAATAATTAAGCAGTTTCCCCAAGCTACCATTGCATTTCCAGTCCAGATTGCCCACTGAGAAGGCTGAAATGTGGAACTGAAAAAAGAAGCCGGTCAGTCTGGTGGCATTAGAAATACAAAGAGTAAATGCCATGTGTGTGCAAGGGAAAGTAAATTGTACTTCCACGGTACTTTCAGCTCCAGTTTTTCACCAAGAAGAAGCCAAGAAGCATATTTTAAGCTCTCCTCCCCCACTTCTCCCCTAACACACAAAGGCAGACAAGTCTTCATGCTGACAGGATCCATTTAAAGAATTATAGCTGACTCTTGATAATTCTCATTATGTTAATCCACAAACCTGTTAAGTCTTCCTATGAATGATAGCCCATTCCCAGCTGTCAGCAAGGAATTAATAGCACTCTGCTGTATTTTGCTATGAAGGGACTTAAGGTTTGGTTCCACAATTCCTTTAAGCTGATGTAAGCCTGTGCTGCTTTTGCCCTTCTCACCGGAACTTTCTCCCTTGTCCTCATTCTGGCCCCAGGACTTGTGCATTCAGGAGTTGGTCTGGAGAAAACTGTAATCAGCAATTCAGCTGACCAAGCAACTGCATGGTCTCTGCTGCTGCAAGCAAGGGAAAGTGGAAACACACAGCTGAGGACAGAAGGCAGAATGTGCTTAGATTTGCTTAACCTCCTTGTGAAACCAGACAGAGTTAGTTTGAGGAAATGTCCACAAGCATCTTAGTGAAAATGTAGTGAGCATAAAGAGAGGGTGAGCCCAGCTAGGTAGAGCAGCTTGCAGGTCAGCTGTTCAGTCTGGAAGGGTGACACTGAGGCAGGGAGTGATGGAGATCAGCAAAGTCAGAAGTGGGGCAAAGATAGTGATTATGTAATAAATGTCTCTTCCAGTGCAAAAATTGGAAGCATAAAGTGACACCAGTAGAAGTTAACTTCAGAGCCTGCAAGATTGACAGTTTGCTCACAGAGTGAGCTGCTGAGCTCTGGAACTCATTGCCACAGCATTCTGCAGATGCTGAAAGTTCCCATGGATTCAAGAAGCAATGTGTCAAATTAATGTGAGAAAAATCCATGGAGAACTTCTCAGTTCCAGGACTCAGGATGACTTTTTCACATCTCTTGGTAGCCTAAAATAACATTGCTAGAGATCTAATCCAGAGGTTTGATCACAGAATCAGAGTTGTAGGGGTTGGAAGGAACCTCTGGAGATCATCTAGTCCAACAATCCTGCTAAAGCAGGTTCCCTACAGTAAGTTATACCCCACCCCATCCCATTCCATCCAAGTTCATTCCACTATTACTCTCATTGAGAGTTTTTACATCAGTTGCCTGCTTGAAGTAATGTTGGGCCACGCATGGCCAACATTGTGAACTTGGGGTGTTATTTATTAATTATTGTAATTATTTTAATTAATTCCTGCCTCTGGGAGTACCACAGGCTAATTTTAGCCCTCTCAGACTCCAGCAGTAGACCCCCTGATGAGCACACCTACTTAATCTTATATATTACCAAAGTATATGATATTTTCTACTGCAAGAATCTGTCTATTATGATAGTTTAAAAGCTCAGCCAGAGTCAGGGCTTGGGTGTTTCTGCTGATAAAAATCAGACTGTAGCTGTAGAATTGCCAGACAGTGGGGATTTGCTGCCCCTGTTTTATTTGGGGAACTGCATTCAGGTTGTTCCGTGCTAAGTGCAAGATGTTCAATGATGAGTTCAACAATGCCTTAACTTCCAAAGCTCTGCTCAGATGTGTGCTCTGCAGGGCTGCATGAGTGGAATATTCACAACCAGCTGCCTTCCTGGCTGTTCTCCTCCCAGTTACAGTTGTCTCCTCAGCTGCAGTGATGCTGCTTCAGTGATCCCTCTTTGTGCCCCCATAAGTCAAAGTGACAGGTCAGTTTGAACAGCTGGATGTTGCCATCCTGGGACGTCGCAGCGTCATATCATATCCCAAGCTGGAAGAGACCCACAAGGATCACTGAGTGCAGCTCCTGTTTCCACATGCAATATGGTGACAGTCACTTCAGGGCAGGCAAGTAGGCCAGGGTAGGCTGCTTTCTGAGAAGAGCACTGCAATGGGAAGGAGTTTGCCATGGCCCCAAGCGAATGGCAGGTTTGACAACAACACACTGAGTATTCAGGTTCTTCCTCCATGCTCAGAAGTGAGAACAGTTTGACTGTCAAAATACTGATAACAGGCTGCAAGGAGCTCTGTAGCCATCTCAGCAGCAGCTCTGCACTCACTTTGCTTTGTCAGAGCAGCACAAGTGGCTGCCTGGGGACAAAGATTTTAGCATTTCCTCGGACACACAGTCAGGGCTCTGTGATCAATGTAAAATTTCATCTCTCTCCATTCCCCCTACATCTCCTCCAGTGTCTGCAATTTCTTCCTCTGAAAGCAGGTACTCCATTTACTCTGTAACTAAAGGGCACAGGATCAGTGCAGGGTGAATCCTGGCAGAGCAGAAATGCTCAAGTCCAGCAGTGAGCCAGGAGGCTGCTGGCACATCCCTTCCTCTTCCTTTCTCCGCCTTCCCCCTGACCTGCCCCTCTGTGCATGCACACTGGCACCAGCTGCAGAGCCAGTGGGGCACTTTGCATTACTGGCAGAGAAAAAACAGAGCAGCAGGTGAAAGAAGCAAATACAGATCTGGTGCTGACCCTTGCCAAGCTGTTCTTGTAAGATCTTGCTCTTGTAAAAACAGAGCTGGCTGTCTGATTTTTGATCCACTGCAACTGCTATTTGCAGCCAATCTGTGGAGAATTTACCCACCTGTGGGGAGGAACAGGGGATTTTCATTTCAAAGAGAGAAGATGGGGGCTGAAGGCATTCAGCATCTGGCAGAAAAAAGCTTGGGCCGTGTTCAGAAAAGGCCACACAGCAAAGCACTCTGACGCGTTTGCTGGTCCTCACTCAAGAAGTGAGCACTTGCACAGAGATGGACAGAGCCCTGGCCATAGGCAGCCCTAACTTTGTGCAGATGCAGGTGTGGGTCCTGGTAAAATGGGTTTTCTCCTGGCATTACAAGGTCTCTGAATGTTCCCTCTTTGAACTGCTGCATTCCGGATTTCATGCTGTGACAGTGATGTCTTTTTTCTATGCCTTTTTCCAGGCCGTCCCTGCGTTGACTGCCATGCGTTTGAGTTCATGCAGAGGGCGTTGCAGGATTTAAAGAAGATGGCGTATAATCTAGACACACGGGTATGTGCTTCTGTAGAAAAACTTTTCCTTAGCCTTTGTCTCCAAGCGGCAAGGTCTGCCTGTCTGCACACAGCAGACACGACATCTCTGCTGACTCACTTTCCTTCCAGCAAATAGGATTGTACCAAGTGCAGATTATTTTCCACCCGGTTGGAGAGCTTCAGTAGCCTGACTCCTTGCATAACAGGCTAAAGAATTACCCCAGACAATTCATGCATAAAATAAAGAAGAAAAGATGATGTGTGCAGGAGAAAAGGATGAGAAAGAAGGTTTATTCTCTGTCTCATAACATTGCTTTTTAACAGTGGATTCATCACCCTATGGGCAGGAGCAGCAGATGAATGGAATAGCAAGGAGATGGCAAGAAGGGCTGGCAGAGGGGAAAGGCATGCATGGATATTCCTTGTTCACGTATTGATACTTTCCAAGAAGAAGGGGGAAGCATATTTGCTTGGGCATTTTTCACAGCAGACATGGCATTTTGCAGCCTCGCCTGCCTGTCTTGTGCTGCAGAGGTCCCAAAGAACAAAGCACGAGGGTGTAATAAAATGCCCTGATTTTAGCATTGCCCACATATGTGGGTTTGTAAATATACATGGATATTGGCTGGGGTAGGGCTTAATGAAAACTCACAAATGATTCCATGCTGTCTGAAGTTTGCAAGGAGCAGGAGGGTGCACAGAGCACCCTGGTGGAGCTGTAGGAGTCCCTGTTCATAGCAGGGGAGTTGGAGTAGATGAAGTTTAACTCAAATAATTATATGATTCTATGATAAAGCCCCTTCGTATGCTTTGCACTATCTCTGCTTTCCTAACAGTTCCATATACGTTGGCAACATGACAGCTTTTTAAGTACAGTCAGACTGGAACCTCATGTGTGGCTCCTTTGGGTGGCATCCTTCTGCAGTGCTATCTTCGTTGGTGGGTGGGAAGGGCTCCTTCAGAGTCACATTCTGCTCAAACTGTCATTAACAGCAGTCAGTCACAAAGAGTTAAATCAACTGTGTCTCAAGCTGTAACACTTAAGGGCAATTATATTGCTTTGCCTTTGGTTTCTTGTGGCCTTGGGCAACCGTGCAGGGCCCCAGACAATGAAGGCAGAGTCACTTCAGCTTTCATGAGCTATCAATAACAAATTGATTAGGCCAGAGATCTGTGTGCAGCATGGGTTACATTGCAGAAGTTTCCCATGCACTAGCCTAAAACTCGACAACCACTAGGCGTCACTGCAAATAGTGGAGCTCCACCCTTGCAGCTGGGCTGGACTGCTCTGGTGCACAGCTGGGCATCAGCTGTTTGGATTAGATGCATCTGAAACGTTTTGTGCCTATGCATGACTGTATGAAGGAGGTACTGGGACTCCAAAGACCTTTCTGGAAGAGAGCTTCATTTAAATACAAATTATTAAATGGTGCAGTTACAAAAATGAAAGGCCATGGCCAAACCTCTACCGATGGTCCTCTGCTCTCAGAAAGGTACAGCCTTCATATCTACACTTAACTGCTAGTGCTTGCCTGATACTGACTCAAGTCTATTTTCTCGTGTTTTACACACAAATAATTTCACTGAACAACTCTTTGAGTCTTTAAAATTCTTGTTCTAAGGGGAAACCCCATGGAGCTGATCAATCAGGGACTTCCTGGCCACTGCCAACATGGCCACAGTTAATTTTGGTATGAGAGGATTCTCTCTCAAAGTCTTTTACTTTGTATTTGAGTGGTCCCGGAGTTGCTCTTCCTTCCTGTAGATAGTCACGAGTTATGCCTTGGCAGGGTTTGTGGTAGCACTGACAGCTTGTTGGCATTACAGTGAAAACCAATAAGCCTGTGTGACATTAAGATGATTCTGTGATTTCTACTGGGCTCCTAACAATGGGAGCATTCACTCATCCAGGATTGCATTGTATAACCAAGAAGCAGTACTTCTTGAGTGTACAATAATGCTTGCCATTGCACTAAGCTGATAAGTGAAAGCAGACAAGGAATGTGAGCAAGACCTCTTTAATGCAAAGGTAGATGTCAAAAGTTTCGGTTGAAAAGAATAAAACGAGGGAAGGAAAACACATCTCTCAAACTGCCTCTGCCTGCAAAGCGTGGCAGAGGTGAGAGCAAGAGGTGAGCAGCAGAGTGGAAGTGGGGACAGGAGACATTGGGCTGGTGAGCAGGGAGTTTGGACTCAGCAGAGTAAAGTAGAAGTGCCCAGCTACTTCTATGGGATCTGGGTATCTTTATTAATTGGGCCTCTGCTGGTTTTAATTTGGAAGCATCATGTAAGGGGAACACCAGCTGAAGAGTGTGTGTGTCACAGAACTTTCTGACCTTTCGTTAACAAGAAATCTCCAAGGTTTAGTGTTTTTGTTTGGTTGGTTGCTTTTTTCCCCCAGTAGAAATGGGAAATCCATTTATGTTGAATTTAAGCCTGGAAAAGCTTAAGGATTTTTCTTTTCCCCAAGAAACTCTTCAGAGTTAGTCTACAAACTACTTAAGGGACCATAGACCACAGGGAAACATTTATCTTTAGTCATGATTATACTTAGAATCATAGAATTATAAGATTATTAAGGTTGCGGAAGACCTCTAAGATTATCTAGTCCAACCATCCACCTACCACCAATACTGCCCTGTAAACTATGTTCTAAGTACCACATCTACATATTTCTTGAACACACTCAGGGGGAGAGACTCCACTACCTCCCTGGGCAGCCCATTGTTGCTATTGTTTTGAGTCTTTCAGGAGATTCCACTTCTGAAATTACAGTAGTATTTGGGAAGTTCAATCATTTTTTCTCAAAAAGTGAGACCAAGGCCAACAAAGGATCTATGCTGTAATAATGCATGATATTTAAATATCTTTGAGAATGTTAAATTATTATTTTTTCCTAGAGTACAGAGAAACAAAAGCTTAAAAATGATTTTCTACCAATACACTCCAAAGCCAAGAACAAATAACTTCAAATGATTTGTAGAGAGAATGGTTTTTAAGCTTTTGATGGGATTCTAGAGGCACAGCTCCAAATGGAGTTGGTAATAAGGCAACTGCCATGAACTACCTCAGGTTGAAATAAGAGCCACAAGCTCAAGTCCAAATCTGCCCTAAAAAGTGGTGAGTTTCAGACTACATGATTAGACTGACAGCTGGATTGAACCCAGTGGAGAAACAGCAGTGTAACAGAGAGCATAATCGGCCCCTTAGCACGTGCTATCTGGCACAATTAAATTATACTGCTCTGAAGGCTTCATCAACAGGAAGCCATCAATCACTGGGAAGGAATTAAGTGCAGTGCAGCTGAAAGTGGAATTTTGCTCAGCATTTAGAAAAGACATTTTAATAATATTGACAGCTCTGTCCCTGGAAGTTAACTATGGAAATGAAAACATTTGGATTACAAAAATACTCTCCATGCCTCTTGATTCTGAATATGCTTATTTTGTGTCGCTTTTTCTGGATGGAAACCAACTCTAATAACCATGATTTTTCACTCAGCAAAGCACCTTGACTACAGCTGTGTAGAGAAATTAGGTCAATCAATTTTATACTCATACCTTTTTAAAGTGCTTTTTTCAGTTTCTTTCTTTCTTTCTTTATTTTTTTTTTTTTCCTGCAGACAGAAACCCTCCTCCTGAAAGCAGAGAAGAGAGGCCTGTGTGACTGCTTTCCTGCACTGAAATGAGCACTGGGATTAACCAATGGACATGTATTATGTATTCATTTTTAAAATGCTGTTGAAAAAATTACAGGAAGATACGGAGTGCTGCACCACAAGAAAACAATTTTTATCCAATCAGGTACAGCCCAGTTAGATCATTTTTCCTTTGATGTGTTTTATCAGTACTGTATGTGATATTGCATCTGCTGAAATGTCAGAAGAAGAAGCGGAGTTAGTGTCTCAGTCCTGAGATTTGTGTAGGGGCAGTATCTCACTTTCCTGCTATTTCAAGCCAAAAATTGTCCTTAGACTCTCAGGCCAACCACTCAGCTTATGTAAATCGCCACAGATCTGTCAAAGTGTAAATGGAATCAAGTTCTTTTAAATATTTATGTTACAAGTTTGTCCCTAAAAAGAAAATGAAACTGCTTTGCAGTGATGCTTTGCTGTAAATTTGCTAACAAGCAGCCGTGATTTTATATAGAAATTAGTAGTTGTCACTGCCTGCCTGGCAGCACACAGAAGGTATTTGTTCCCGATTGTATCAATAATCCAGTGCACAGCAAACAGTAATCTGTACCCAACGTTTGTTTCTTCAGTAGCTGTGATCTTTTTGGAGGGATTTATTAAGTATCTAATGCGATCGCTAACGTTTATAATCACATGAATGCTGCCTGGCAATAGAACTGATTGCGTCTGCCAAAATCTTCTGGAGAAGTGTCTTTCATTAAGCAAATCACAGCCTGGGCTGAACCACTCTCACTGGCCGCTCCAGCAGGTTTGGCAGAAGGCCTGCACAACGCCCGCGCAGCCAGGAGCCTCCTGCAAACTGTTTTTTAAATATTTAGGTTCCAGCAAAATGGTCCACGGCTCTTGCATGGACTTAGCAGGGAGGAATTTCACTCCACAGTGATGGGTTGCTGATGCTATTAATATTCCCACTGCAGTCAGTGGGAAATGAGAGGACAGAATGGTTCAGGCAGTGTAGCAGTGGTAGACAAGATTGCACCTTGTTACACTTTGAAAAACAGTGGCACATCCTTCCCCCTTGTTTTCCTTTATTTTTTATTTTTTTTTCCCTTTTTGTTTGGGGTGGGCGGGATGGGGAAAACAGAAGATTCCCCCAATGGAAAGTTATTGTACAGAGTAACAGATTTTCATAAAACTTCAAATATCTTCCCCAAAGTGTAATGAATGGAAATGTGGAGATCAGCTAGAGCATCTATGTATAAATTTGAAATTTTATGCAAGTAAGAGTGTGGGAGCAGTATCAACAACAGTGGTTTTCAAAGTTATTTTGTCAACCCTCATTAAAACACCCATTTCTCTATAAGCAGCTGATATTCTGCTGTCGGGCTGCTCAGTGAGCTATGATGGTAGATAGTAAACTCTGTGTTTCCAAGCCTCTTCTCTCCCATTTTATTCCACCACTGCAGGCACAGGGAATTGTGACCTGCTGCCAAAATATTTTGTGTGCAGTCACAGCCAGTAATATGCAGTATTAGAATACAGTCTGGCAAAGTAACTTGGAAGGCTGCTGGTTTGCAGTAAGGAAAAGCATTCTTCCACCTTCATTTAAGTGGGAATTTTGTTGTCCTTTGTAGTATTCCAGAAAAACCCTTTATAGGTCATCAGGACCCAGTTTGTATAAAAGAGAAGCATCATGACACAGCAACACATTGCTTCAAGAAGCATTACACTCCACTAAAGCACTGGAAACTGGCTGAGGGGAAGCAGTAGAGGGTCTCATAATAGAGTGGTTCATTTTACGACTATAACAGTAGGCATAACACAACTGCTTTCAAATTCCAGCCTTAGGTTGCTTTACTCCCGCTTCAATTTGAACATAAGCAATGCACACATCTTGAACTGATTTTTTTGCCAGGAGGTGGAATTTCAGCACTGAACCTGTGAGGTTTTTCAGCACAGCTCACTTTCTGGGGACAGCAGCACGTCTGTGGTTTTGTATTGCTGTTGTGCATGCTTATTCTGCTGCTACCTTAAAGAATGTGGCAAAGTCTTGTTAGCAAATGCTGGTTTTATTTCGTTTGTTTGTTTGTTTTGGGGTTGTTTTTCTTTTTTGGCTGTGTTTTCATTTAGAAAAGTGGTTGCACATAGATGAATTTTGATATGCAGCTTGTTATGATAAAAAGGTGGAATGACTGACGAGTGGATGTTCTCTGGCTCTCAAAGGGATCAGAGTGACACTGCAAGTTTATAGCTGTGATGGCAGTGATGAGATGTACTCCTCTTTGTCTATAACAATAAAAATACAAGATGCATCGCGCTGTTTGGTGTGCTTTGTTTCTTATTTGTACCTTAAGATGTTCATGCAGTAATAAATATCTGCTCTTTAATTAGTTGGAAAATTCTCAGAGGGAAAAGTGCTATTTTGAATAAGAAAATCAAGAACTCTTGTATCTGAGCTAAATTTATGAATGTCCTCCTATTTGTTGAAGTATAAAATCGAACTCAATCTTATTTGAAATTAAATATACTGCAAAGATTTTTAGAACTGTTCTGAAGTCTCCATACTCTTGGAACTTGATAGCTGTGATAAAGCTCCTTGTAATTAGCAAGGTAGCACTAGCTAAAAATTGAGCTACATAGCTTTAATTTATTATTGCTCATGAAGTTAATGTACTAGAAGAAACTATATTTTACAAAAGGTTTTAATTGCAGGAGGTCTTAAAGCAGAAAGTCTTTTTTGCTACACAGCACTCAAAGCACCATTTTGCTGTGGATCCAAGATAAAATTTGTGACCTTTTGAAATCAAGCCTGTCTTTTCTTTTGGTGCAGTGCTGCTGCAGATAGCCTTGGGCACAGTGCATTTGTACACAATGGAGTGGAAGTGGCAGGCTGTAAAGATGCACAGTTAAGTTCTCAATAGAAAAGAACTGATATAATTGTGTTAGTGGGCTGCTTCCTCAGGGTAGGCAAGATGTTGGCTAAATCCTGGTAGTGCATCTCCACAGCTTCTTGTGCCTACCCTCGTGCAGTATCTTGCACTTGGCCTTATTGAACTTCATGGGTTGGCATGGGCCCACATCTCAAGCCTGTCCAGGTCCCTCTGGACATCCCTGCCCTCTAGCACGTCAACTGCACCTTTCAGCTTGGGGTCATCTGCAAACTTGCTGAGGGTGCACTCGATCCCACTGCCCATGTTACCTACAAAAATGTTAAATTACACCAGTCCCAGCACCAGTCCCTGTGGAACACCACTCGTCATCAGCCCCCACTTGGATACCTCCTTTCAGGGAGATGTAGAGAGTGATAAGGTCTCCCCTGAGCCTCCTCTTCTCCAGACTGTGCAATCCCTGTTTCCTCAGCCACTCTTCATAAGAACGCCATTTGAATTTTTCAAGCTTTCCAGAACCTGTTTTTGAGACGTGTACAATGTAATGCAGATGGAGGAAGTGGTTGTGAGTAACCCCTGTGCTCCTCAGCTGAAGCTGCTCAGAACATAGCTGTCAGGGAGGTTTAGCCTGTGCCTGTTCCCACAGAAAATATAACATTGTTCACATCTTTTACAAATTGGTACTTGTCAATCTGAAAATTAAGGGAAGTGAATTTGTAAGTGCTTTTGCTAGTCAAGGAGAAAGGCGGTGGTCATGTAAAGAATGGTATTAGCAGCAAAAATTAACTAGAGTTGGAAAAATAATAACAATTGCAAATATATACACGTATATGTAAAATATATTTACTGTCATTTTTGCTCCACTAGAAAGACCTTTGGTCAAACCCAATGTGAACAAACTTAAATATGCTTACTTTATCTACATATATACCCCGACAAAAACAGAAGGTATGAACTTTCTTCCCTTAACTCCAGAGAGTAGGGATGAGAAACATAAAGAGACTATGAGAAAACCACTTAATCATTCTCATTGTTCCTGGACAGCCTGAAGCACCTAATAAACTTTTAGCACATGTAGGACAGGAGGTACCTGTACAAAGCAGGAAGACAAGGAACCAAGCTCTTCCTTCTGGGGTCCCTGTACCCACAGTCCATTCAGAACCCAAGTGCTTCAGACCTGTCTCACCTGCTCACTGAGGTGAGTGGCAAAGGGGAGATAATCGGATTCCTGAAATATGCAGGCCTAGTTGCCTGCTGAGCTCAAAGGTGTTGGAAAGGAAAGGCAAAAAGAAAAGGATTGGGTACAGCACAGTCATTTGTTGTGGAGCTTTATACTAAGGGAAAGCCAAGCAGCTTCATGCTCTGTGTGTAAGCACAGCACTGTTCCTAGTATATAAAAAAGAATTACCATAAATGATGATGTTCATTAATATCCATTATTAAAGCTCCAGTTCACTACATTCGTTATGATGTTTTCCATGCAGCAGCTCTTAGCAGAAATGTCCCCGGTGAAGTGTGGATTTTTGTTCAGTCTGGCTTGTGTGAATGCTTTCTTTGAACTCCATATGTTTCTGTTTATTCTGAAATCATTTTCAGAGCTGTTCTCTCAACACTGTGGCCCAAATTCTTCACTTGCACTCCCACATGGGATTCTTCACGAACTCACTGGAAAGCACAAAAGGTGACTCAGGCCTATTTCACACTAACACAGTGCAATGTTTACTCAGTGTATTTATTCTGATGTAACTGCTGTTTGGATTTCCTTGCTGTATTGTAAAAGATTTTCCTGGGGAAAGCAGAGCTCCTGTGCCCTGTCCCAACATCAGCAGGCTCAGTGTTAAAGAATTTGGATCCTATATTATTGTGTTTCTCAAGCCGATCAAGAGCTGGCTTCAAGATGAAGTGTTATCTGTTGTTTAAGAACTGACAGTGTGAAATAACAAATTGATGATGTGAAATAACAAATAGAAGTCTAGCATTTGTGCAGAAAGTATTCCATCATCCTCAAAGCACGAAAGTACAAAAGATAGATGCTATCTGCAGCAGTGGTTACCGAGAATGGATGTTTCTTCCTAGCTCTTGATACAGCAGTGTGCTTGTAGTATTCCATACGTTATAGATGGAGTCAGGATGACAGGCTCTTGTCATATCAGATTTCATTCCATATTAATAAAAAAAGAAACTGAGGTAAAATTATGGATCTATACATTGTTTGTAAATCCATATCGATCAGATTCTAACAAGCCTATATTTTCCAATATTTAATTCTTTTTTTTAAGTTGCTTGAAAAACTGTGCCTGGGTCTTGCAACTCAGGTGTATGTGGGCGTCGAATGTATGGCAGACTAAAACACATAAAGCTTACATAAAGGAGCAGTTGTGTGTGGTGTAGGTCCAAAGAATTTAGAAACCAGGAATTTTTTGAGCTCTGATCTGTTCAGAGCCCAGATTCGGTACGTGTCTCAACATAAGCTTTTGTAACAAGACGGCTGTACATTGCCTGCAATGGAGCAAGTACTCTGTGCCCAATAATGCACTGAATAATTGTGATTCTCCAGAATATTTCATTACTATGCAAAAAAAACAAAAACAAAAACCCAACATCAACAAGAAAACAGTTGCAAAATTTAACACATTCTTTATTGCAAATAATTAGCTGTTTCCCATACATACAGTTATATAGCTGAAACAATTTTATTGCGATAAGTTTGAATTAGTCATATTTAAACAGTTGTTGAGAGGATCTGGACTTGAGAGTAAATGAAGACTCAATGGATTTAATGGGTACTGGACCTTGGCCAGCTCTCTAAGAACAAGCGCAAACATGCAACACTTGAGAAAAAAATCAGACTAGTAGCTACTGGCTGGGAAGATAAACACAGTAAACTTGGGAAAAAATGCATCTTGTTGCTTTCCCTTTGACTTGAGGTCTGATTTATACCTTGTCCATTTAAAATTTTCATTGTACCTGACACAAGAGAAAGGTTTTGTATTGCCTCCTCAAGGTTAGTTTCCATTTAGAACTGACGTTTATACATGAAAGGCCACCAGATACCTCGCATATACCAGCAGACATTTTATTATCATGTTTGGAGTATGGAATAAGCTGTTGTGAGGCTTTCCAGGCATGGCTGACAAACACCTGCATACACTACTCTATCACTGCCAAACTGGAGAAAGCATCCAGCAGCTTCTGCCGGGGTGACTGAGTGGCTCATCTGAGAAGAACTCCACTGACAAAGTAATTTGTGAGCTGCACACAGTGCCTGGGAAGATGGGCTGCCAGCGCCTCACTCGAGGAATCTGATAGCATGGACACCTTTAATCCTGACCAGGGAGAAGCTTGGCACACTGGCTGGTATGGAGTTGTCTGGCTGTATATTGGATGGAGAGCAGAGGGCTGTAACTGGAGTAGGTGCTGCTGTATCTGAAGTAGGTGCTGATATCTCGATAGCATGCAGAGTCATTTTTATCCAATCATATAGCTTCTTGTCCTAGGAGAAAGATGAGGGCTCATGCGTGTCAGAATGCCTGTCTATTAAAAGTCTGTCATTCCTTGAAACCCAAACTGCCTGCAGGCTGCAGACGCACGCACTCAGCTTTCTCTTCTAAGGGCCCATCTGGTCATCCACCAGGAAACAGCTCTTCTGAAAGACAGAGCTATTGCAGTTCTTACGATCCAAACCTCACTGTAATTCATTAAAAGCAGGGAATGGGAATCCAGAAGACCTTTAGAGGTCAGGTGGACCCATGAAGAGTTTGCAATTCAAAGAGAATGTCATTTGCAGGGACAGACTGTCAGCACAGGGTGCTAATAAGCAGACCTGTCTAATCTGTAAGTACAGCTCTATGAACATGAAAGAGGAAGAAACTTCACAACCCATGACCTGACTACCCAGGGTTCTACTCTGTGTGCCCTTGACAAGGTCCCATTTTGCAGGCCCTAGAATAGCCCATGCAAGGCAGCGGACAAAATGGCCACTTTTATGCAGAATCTCAGGGTAGAAGACAGACAGGTCTGCTGTCACCATGCTGAGGACCTGGCCTTTATAAAGCAAGCATAAAGTTGGAACAGGAGGTTGAGACCTTAAGACCTGAACAGTGGTGCCTATCTCTGTAGTCTGTGAGCCAGCACCAGTGTGTTAATGAGAGGTAGGCAGGCTTCACATCCTGTGGGAATGGGGCTCCAAAGTTACTTTTTTGCTGAAGGTACCTGGGCTTGACCCCTTAGGAAGGGCATTCCCCTGCTGTGAGCTGGCTTCCAGCAGCCTTTAATAGAGCCCCATCCTTGTAGGATTTGACATTAACTGCTCTATGCTACGTTTCACCTTGAGATGGCCATACTGACAATTGGGGATGATCCCAGTATGATGCTAGCGCGTTTTTGTTTGCAAGGCACAATCAGACATAAATGCAGTTTGATGCT